ATTGTGCATATGTACTTTCTTCAGGACAGGCAGCTATAGCTCAGTCAATCGCTCCCTCAATAACTCCATTCATATATTATATAAACTAACTATTTTCTCACCTCTCGTGGGGTGGTGTGTGTCATCCTCAAGCTCGGGTCCTCTACCAGAGGCCTGGGAGTTTGAGGGTTCTGCGCAGTATCTTAGCTGTCCCTAAGACTCTTCTGGACAGAGACCTCTGATGTTTTACCTGGAATCTGCTGTAGCCACTCTCCCAGTTTGGGGGTCACAGCCCCCAGTGCTCCAATTACCACTGGCACCACTGCTGCTCTTACTTTCCACATCTTCTCTCTGTTTTTTTTTTTTTTTTTACACATGCATATGTACATACAACATACACCCATAGTATGTAGCAGAGTGAGGGAAAGCTGGTCCTCCAGCACCCTAAGCCTACAGTAGCAAAATACCATTAGCTCATGTAAGGCTATGACCAGACAAAACACAGTTACATTTTGAAGCACAGACCCAGAAGTACTGTTTATTGAAAACAAGTAGAAGCAGCGTAGATTAAGGTAGTGGTAGCAGTAGTTCAATCAATCATTCCTATTAAGGAACAAACACTGTGAACACAGAATAACAGAGATAATCCAAGGTTTATGGCAGAAGTAAATGCTGTAGCTTATATTAAAAGAATTATTTCTGAGGTTAATAGTACAGAGACATAAGGGACTTATATTTTTCTTTCCCTTTTTGAGTTTTGATAGGTTTACTCTCTGGTTTTGATAGGTCATAGATAGGGATGTACCAATTCAATATCCATATTGGAAATCAGCCCAATATCAGCCTTCTGAAATTTATTTTAAAAGCACACTGATAGTAACGCAGCTTCTATCTACTTCTGTTTGAAGTTTCTGTAACCCAATAATTAAAGGACAAATGAAATACAATCTGCAAATATCGAGTTACCTGGTGGAGCATTTAATGAAGCACTTCCACAAAACATTCAAGGGACCAATGTCTGTGATGTGAAACTCGAATTACTTTGTTGTGCACTTGTGCATTTATGTTATTTCATGTTTAATTAAAGTGGAAATTAAATGTCCAACAAAACTAACTAATTCATGAGATTAAGTCTTGTTATTATCAATAACTATATTGCAAACGTGAAAAATATAAACATAAAAAAAAAAAAGTTTGCTTTTATAATTTTTTATATATATATATATATATATATATGTATATATTAGGGGTGGAACGATTCACAAAATCCACGGTTCGGTTCGATTCACTGTTTCTGGTCACGGTTTTCGGTTCGATTCGATACATGTTGATTGTTACACCGAAATTCCATAAAAAATTATGAAATTAATGAAAAAATCCCCCCAAAAATAATGGATTGTAATTATTTTAAATGATTCGCGGAAACCCTGGATCATTTCCGTATGTTTTGCTGCTTTGAGTTTAATCATCTGGCGCATGCTCTCTAACCTGACAACAGCCAGATGCATGTCTCTCTCCGCCACATGCATCTGGCTGTTGTCAGGTTACATGCTCTCTACCATCTCCAAGGAACTCAGAGGGGAGCGGACGAAGCCACAGCGGGGGCTGTAGGCTTTGATTTGAGCAGCCGGTCTGGAGCGCAGCGGGGGTTGCTGACGGAGTATGAGGGATTTCGGGGTTAGCATGACATGTTGCTGTTAGCATAAACAAAACGTGTTGCACAATGCTTGCACACTGTTGCACTTTTATCCACAACTTTGTTTCCGCCCTCATCATAGGTCACTCTAAATGCAAAGCGCTCCCATACAGCAGACCTAGTGCTGCTGGCGCGTCTTCCAACTCCTGTTCTTTCCCACTCGCCAGTCCGACACAATTCTCCACAACAACAGATTTTTTTCCCTGCTACACCCGGCTACGCTGCTTCGCTTCTTCTTCTTCTTGTTTACTACTGGCGGTTGGCTTTGGTCGCAGTACCGCCACCTTCTGCTCTGGAGTTTAATCGCTTCCTCTATGAGAAAAAGGAGCAGCGCATGAACCGAACGAAACACACGCGAACCGAACCGAGACAGTCGAACCGAACGATTCTGACGGTTTTCATAAATCGTCCCATCCCTAATATATATATATGTTGATAGGTTTGTTTAGAATGTTGAGGTGAGGCTTTGATATGGTTTATATATATATCGGAATTATATCGACCGAAATAAAAAAATATATCATAATTCAATGGTGCAAATCCAAGAAGTAAATGAAACGTAGATTTTTAAAAACAATAATACTTAATTTAATGATTGTCCTAGGGTTGCACGATTTAATCGGCCCCCTATCGGTACCGGCCTGTATCGGCCTTAAAACTGAATATCGGACATCGGCCACCCCACCAATATTTAACCCGATCTTTCATCAGCTTCTGAGTTTCTAAAGTCTAAAAAATAATAAAGATACTACTTCTTCTTCTTCCTCAAAAACTTATTTTTTACAGCCTTAAAAACTTCTAAAGACGAGGGAAAAAATATTGATACACTAAAATATCACAATATCTTCATATGCTGATATATTGCCATTTAAAAACACCATATCAATCTCTTTTACTATTGAAATATTGCTATATGTCATCGTTATGCTACGAAATCCCCCGAAAATTCACGAAATTTTGCCATATTTTTATATGTTGATATATTGATGCGGTATCGATCTATTTTACTAACAAAATCTCACAAGAATTTGTAAAATATCACAAGAGTTTGTAACAGAACGATGAAATTTCACGAGATTTTGAAAGTAAAATAGATCGATACCGCGTTTTTAAAAATCTATTTGATATCAGCATATGAAAATATATTTGAGTATATTATTTTTCAAAGTGTCAGAAATGGATAACAAAACTGCTATTTTTAATGACTACTTATTTTTGTCCAGCTTTAACATCGGTATCGATATCGGTTATCGGCTACATGAGTTTTAAAATATCGGCATATCGGATATCGGCCAAAATCCCAATATCATGCATCCCTAGATCGTCCTCATTAGAAATCAATAAAGAATTAAGTTATTTATTCTTAATAACATGATTATTCCTGTGGGGATAAAAAAACAAGAGTTTAATGCTGTGGTTGCACTCTAGGCAAACTGAAGTGAAAAGTGGAAGTTAGTTTTTTAGAGCAAAGCTATCTGTGAAATTTTATTTTCTAGGGCTGCCACAACGAATCGATAAAATCGATAAAAATCGACTTTTAAAAGCGTTGGCAACGAATTTCATCATCGATTAGTTGTGTCGCGCGATTAATGCGTCATCCGCCGCCGCCGTCCTCCGGGGGAAGAAAAAAAATATGGCAGAGCGAGTCAGCGCCGCAGTTGCAGTGTTGCCAACTCAGCGACTTTTCAGACCCCTCCAGCGACTATTTTTCAAAAAAGCGACTAGCGACAAATCTGGCGACTTTTTACGGTGTCACTGGCGGCTTTTGCCTGCCGCGGGGCGCCTCCCCCATCCCAACCCCTTTCTCCCTCTCCCACAGGAATCCCTCTCAGCGCTGCAGTCAGAGCCGCAGGATATTAGTGAGGAGTTTACCCTCAGCGTCCACACTGCAAATGAAGCGCGCATGCGCCGGGATTGACGGCGCAAATTGATCACAATAATTAAAATAGCCTGCGCTTTGTAAAGTGAAAAAAGTCGTAATATGCAACTTTTGTAAAAACAAATGAACATGGCACGGAACCACCACTGTTATGACGCAGCACCTGAAAAGAAAACACGTTGGAGCCTTCAATGGCAGTGAAGAGAGCTGATCAGCAGGGTGAGCGACCATGTTTGTTTGGTTTTAAAGTGGGGAAACGTAACGTTAGTTTCTCAGGTAGCTCATCTGATTCTTTCCTTACCGTGTTAGTAGGTTACAGACAGGGATAAGGTTGGCTACTTATTTTACTTTTAATTTCATTTGAATTAGCTTAAGCAGCGTTTATATTTCCTTTATAAATAAATTAACTTGCAAATTATGAGGGCAGGGCTTTTAAAGTTTAAATCTTCTGGCAAAGATAAAGAAAATAAGATCCTGCAATTTATGGAAGTAGAGCAGAATATAATCCAGCAAGATCAGTAATATGTCAATTAATTATATGCCACATTCCCATGTAAATATCTGTCTTTGGAGGATGTGTTTTTTAGCACCCCTAGTTCTCTCATTTTTATTCCAAATACAATTTATAGTTTGAATCACAGGGCTATTTTTATCTCTATGGTTTAGTATTTTCTCAAGCAGCAACTTTAACTGCTATACTTTCCTGTCTTAAAAGGCAGAACTCTTCTAGTCTAAAAAAAACTAAACTGTTGAAATGGGGGGGGCCTATTGTTTGAACCCCTTAGGGGCTTTAAAAAACAAAAATGCCTGTCTCTTTTTGCGCTTTATGAAACAAAGTACCCTATATTTTGTGGATGTACAGCTACATTTCTCATGTAAGTTTGCGTAGTTTTGACACAAACATTTATTTTTCATATTGCACCAGTACAGTTAATGAGCAACCTGTACTTGTGTGCTTGTTTGTTCTGTCTAAAATGTTTATTTTGGAATAAAGAGGTTAATATAAAAAAAATTTTTTGTCCGATTCATCGATTAATCGAAAAAATAAGCGGCCGATTCATCGATTTTTAAAATAATCGTTAGTTGCAGCCCTATTATTTTCTCATTGTTTGCCCCATTGAGAGCATCTGTAACAAGCGGAGGAAGTAACGATGGTGCGGAGACGCTTGCTACGTCACTGTGTGTGTTTCTGTCTGAGGCTCATTTTCATGTGAAAGGGCCACAGCTGCTCCGTCCCCATAAAGAAATTATTCATGCCTCCATTTTTAGTCCAGTTCTGCAGCCTAATGACTGAGCTAAAGCTTGTTTAACGCCGAATCTATTCAGTTTTGCGCTGAAAGACGGAACCAGTTTAGGTGTCTGGATCTATCTAAAGAATTAACATTTGTTAACTAACTGTCAAATAACTGAGTTATTATTTGTCACTCATGTTTCCTTCTGTGTTTTACAGGCTTAACGAAAAGAAAAAAAGAACCAACCCTGGCTGTTTGCAGCCTTCCTCAGTTTCTCCAGTGAGAGAAAGGGCTGCTGGATGAGAGGAAGCACTGAGACGTGAGTTTCACCATGTATGGTCAGCAGCGTCGTCTGTCCCTGAATCTGGCTTTTGTGCCTGAGGTTGAAACCAAAGGCAGAGGTTATAAACAGACACAGAGGCCGTCGTAGTAGGACGCTTCTTTCTGCTGGGAAATCGGGAGCTTTCAGAATAAACTTTATGAGTTCGTCTAGCAGCCATGCATTTCCATCATCCACTTGCCAAAAATTGTAAATGTTTCATTTTGATTTGCTAATCAAAGTTTCTTTTTTTCTCATGTAAGTGGAGGAAGAAAAAGGAATATCGGCTTTGAGAATCGGCCCCCCAGAATTTTCCTGTTCCTGCAGTTTTGAGATGTTTTCTTGGTCGAGCACACCGGAATCAAGTAATTAGATGATTAGGAGGACTTTGGATGAACTTTATGCCTACTGAGGAGGTTTTTCAGCCAGTTGATTCAGGTGTGTTGGACCAAGGACAAATCTAAAAGTTGCGGGATATACCAGGCCTCCGGAACTGAAATCGCCCACCCCTGGGTTATAGAGACTGACACTGGAGTGGATTTTCACTCCTGTCCCGTCCCACTCCCACAGAAAAAAATTGTGTCCCGTCCCGATCCCGGGCCAGAGTAGAAATCTAAATCCTGTCCCGTCCCACTCCTGGTGAAATTACTCCCACTCCGATCCCGCTCCCATTCAGAATGACTCCCGCTCCTGCACCACTCCCATTCTTGTTTTTGAGCGCGGGGGAAAAACTCGGAGCGGAAGCACTGTTGGTTTTTGACTCGCATTATAGTGTAGGCTTCAAGGAAAAAAACTACAAAATGGCGGCGCCAGTACTGGATTTTTTTTTCTTTCTATTTTCTTTTATTTTTTTTTGGCATCGATCCTAGTTTTTATTAGTTACTATTGGTTTGCTCCCGCTCCTGTCTGCTCCCGTTAACGTTTAATCCTGTACCGTCCCAATCACGTGATCGTTACTAATACTGACTCCCATCCCACGGGAATCTCGTGACCCGTGGGATTCCCGAAAAAATGTCAGTCTCTACTGGGTTAGACCGAAATAATTGGGCAGTAAAGCTCTACCGATACATTTCAGGGTTTTTTTTTTTTTTAAGGCTTAGACTGAAAACAATTATTTTGACATTAGCCGATCTCCAATCTGCGCTACTAATATCTTTGGTCCAAATTATTTAGGCCGATATTGCTATTTTCTCCTTCTTTTAAACAAAAAGAAAACAAATGAAAACAACAATAAAAACACAAGTCTCAATTTGCAATGCTAATATCGATTGTTTTCACCTCAGCCAATCCCTCATATGTGTTGCCGATATTTTTGGCTTGATTAATTTTGCCAATACTGCACTTTCTTCCTCCTTTTACACGTTAAAGATGACAACAAAAATAAAAAACTCACACAAATTCTCAGTTTGCGATGCCATTACCAAGTGTTTTGATATCAGCTGATCCCCGATATGTGCCTCCGATATATTTGGTCAGTTTTCTTTTGGCCGATTTTGCTTTTTTCTTCTTTCAATAATAACAGAAGTTACACAAGTCTCAATTTAAACAAAAAATACACCTTAAGTACTAATAATAAAAAAAAAAACATTATAAACTGGAAAGAAATGGAGGGAAGGCTAAGTTTGATCTCAAGGCAATGCTGAATGCACCAACGTATCAGCCAACACATGCACATATCCGCTGATACAAGCACAAGAAATAAAATGCTAATTTCGGCCAAAAATATGAACCAACAAAAATATCGGTCTATCTCTTAATGGTATCAGTCCTTAAAAACTGAATCTGTCAATCTGTATTAGCTTCTAACAGAAAAGGATAATAGCAAAAGTTTCTGTTATTATAACAGTGTAGTTGGTCTAGTTTTACTGAATGTCAGGACCTGTGGCAGGCCGCCTTCCATGTTTATACAACGTGAGTGAGTGTGTGCCCCACTTAATGTGACTCACAGACCTACACACTTGCAGGCTAAATTAGGCGCTGCCTTATATGGCTTCTTTTCCTCATTCCCCACTGCAACACTGGGAATATCCATCATCTGCAACTCTGGATAGTTTCTACGCTTCATCTTTGCCCCGTAGAAAGATACCGGAGGCATTTTTGAGTTTCTGTAGATAGAGAAGAGTGCAGAAATGAATTTATGTTAACATAAAGAAGAAACTTTGATTATGATGAAAGAAATCGAAGGTGGGTTAACCCCTACAGAAATATTTGGCTTTGGAAATGGAAAAAATGACTTTAGTTGGCTGAGAGGCTGGGAAATTTTTTGATAGATTGGAAAACAAAGGAAGAGAAATACATCAGTTTAATGCTTGTTTTTCTTTCTTTAAAAGAACATTAAAATGGATTAATTTAGCTGGTGTTCCTTAGAAAAACAAGGAGTTTTATTTCTTATACATTTGACTTGCAAATAAACATATTTAATATATTTTTCAGCATTTTCAGACCACAGATCAAGTCAACAGTTCTTTTTTTGCTTTAGACTAGAAACTGACATTTTTTCGGGAATCCCACGGGTCACAGGATTCCCGTGGGATGGGAGTCAGTATTAGTAAAGATCACGTGATTGGGACGGTACAGGATTAAACATTAATGGGAGCAGACGGGAGCGGGAGCAAACCAATAGTAACTAAAATAAAAAAACTAGGATCGATGGCAAAAAATAAAATAAAAGAAAAAAAAATCCAGTACTGGCGCTGCCATTTTGTAGTTTTTTTCCTTGAAGCCTACACTATAATGCGAGTCAAAAAAACTACACGACCCAAAAACCATTTATAATTATTATTCCTTTTACTTTAACTGACCTTTACTACAGTTAGAAACAGGAACTTAATTGACCCTTCATAGAAATTCAGATTCAATGTATTGGCAGAAATCTTATTGAAGACAACAAGAATGTGAGTGAAGCAGGAGCGGGAGTCATTCTGAATGGGAGCGGGATGGGAGTGGGAGTAATTTCACCAGGAGTGGGACAGGACAGGAGTGAAAATCCACTCCCGTGTCAGTCTCTACTCTAGACTAAGATCATTCTGATCCCCAGCTGACTGAAAACACTACAAATATTAAATATCTCATTGTAATAAGCTAGAGAATTACAAAATAGACAAGAATAACAATCAGTTTTGATCATTTCTGTCAAATTTATTTTTCGGTGATATTCATTTATTTTATTTTTATTCTATTTTTAAACCTCTTAATTACATATCATCTATACTCACTCTATAGGGAGGGCAAGGACTGGAAAAATCCAACCAAATGATCTAAGATTATTCTAATAAGTTTGTTTGACAAAATCTAAGAATATGAACATTTATTCAGTTTATTTTTTTACTATTAATAAATACGAAGAAATAATAAATTATTTATGTATTTTCTTTTTAGTGTTTGTAACTATATTTTTGTCTCTTTCTATTCAGTTTCCTTCCTTATTAGAAACAAAAAGATTAATGCCTTTAAATATTTGGACATACATATTTAATTGTTACCTATGTAAATGTTTTTTCCAACCTTGTATCATGTTTTTGCTGTTGCTTCTGTATAATTTTAAATAAATTCAACAGAAATAGAAAATATAAGTCATTAGATTGTGGATACAATTATATCTATTTCACTCCTAATTAATGTAAAAATTTATGATTTTTGTTATATATACAAACAATAATATTGTATTTTATTTTTTACTTCTTTTTTATCTTTCAACCAAGAATTTTAACAATTAGTTTTATCCATTGGGCGTCATGCAACAACATTTTTGTGTTCTTGTCATTGATGCCTTTTTCTCCTACCATGGCATCTTATGAGTGCTCCACACCAGAATTATCAGACGCAAAGCTGATGCAGTCATCCTGTGTGTGAGCGAGCGCACATTCCACAGAAATGTAAAGTTATTATCGCCTAGATAACGCCATATACGTGTACAAGTTCCCACGCCTCTATGAATGAACGAAATGGCAAAAGACAAAAAAGAAAAAGGTTAAAGGATCTGCTGACTGGAAGCTGAGCAGCAGAATTAAAGGACCAGCAAAATTAAACAGTCGGGAATAAATTACAAGAGCTGTAAAGTAGGTGCTTGCACTGTTACAGTTATTGAAAAGAAAATTAATGAGGTGGAACATATGCTGTAAACACTTAATAAGTTCACCCTCAACCGACATGACAGCATTCTGATAAATCTGCGTTGCATAATGCATAATAATGTAGCCTAAAACGGTCATTTGCTATTAAGTAAAAGACATGTAGTCGTTTATGAAAAACTAGGTTTGGATAACAGCTGACTTATTGTGAAAAACTCCAACGTCAAGTCTGGAGCTCTCGTAAAGTTTGTTCAAACGTAAAAGAAGTTTACAAATAGAAAAGCAATGGTGACTGCGACATTTTCTACTAAATCACTTGTACTTGAACAATTTGAGAATTAATCTTAGCATGAGCGGTTCTTGTATGAGACCCAATGTTCCTTTATTCTTTTAGTAGCTTGTCTTCATATGTATTTTCCCAGGATTCTTTTTTGAAACAGTTATTATGATTAAGGTCTCAAGTTTTCTTGTGAAGTAAAATGGAAAAAAATAAGTCATTTGGCTTAAAATTAACTAGTCTAATTTGATATAAAAAGAATCAACATTAGTGTCCCTAAATCCTCTGATTACTTCATAAATAAAGGTTTACCTTAAGGCACTAAACTACTCAAAAAAGGTTGTTCATTTTGAATCCATTTTGTTTTTAAACTATGCTTAAAAGAAAAAAGGGGAGCTTTTTAAATCATTTAATCTTTTCTGGTTGGAAAACAAACACCATATAAATATGTATAATAATATGTACTGTATATGGACACATGTAAAAATACAGATCAGTGTCTGCTTATAAGTAAAACAGAAACAACAATATCTTAAAATCAAAAACTTTAAACAGTACATCAAGTAATTAAAGGGTTAAAAAAGGAATAGGGGCTCTTTTCTCTTTAAAAATGCATTTCTCCTCCAACTTATCCTCATGCTGCCACATATCAT